AGATAAGGGGATGTCTATACATCGCGAATGCATTGTGAATGTTCTCGAGTAGTGAAATTAAGTGAAAGCGTTTTTCAATAACTCAGCTATATTTATTTTACAAATTAAAAAAGTTAAGGCTAAAGTCACTCTTCAAAATTTTAATACTGTAAGCTGAGAAATTCTGTAGATTTTGACAATTATAAATCAAATATTCCTAACTATTAACTTAAAGTTAAGGGTTACTTTTTATTACATACACAATACCCCAAATATATCATATTTTTAACTTGAATTTACATATTTTATTAAAATATATTATGAATACCCGTCAAAGTGTGGGTGGACAATGGACATCATAAATTTGGACTTAATTATGAAAATTTTAAAAAGGTTCTGTGTATATAAAAAATTACCGCAATTAATAAACATACTATGTTAAATAATCTATACTCTGGTCCATTTAAAATGAGATAATCACTTCAGATTGAAAAAGCAAAAATAAAATAATTTCTTGTTTGAATTTTATTTTTTTTAATTTCTGTGTAAAATAGTTTGATTAAATCATGACCATAGAAGTTTTTTCTTTGAGCAAAATACAACAGATATTATTATATTACTCACAATATAAAAGTTAATTAACTGTGAAAAAAAATTGTACATTGCTTAAGTACATTTGACTAATTTTCAAAAACATAATTTGACTGATAATCAACTATATATATATAATATAAATACATTTTTAGCATATCAAAATATTATAGTATTTATGTTACTCGTAACTTATAATATTATATTCATTTTATAAATATTAGTATTATCAATTTTAAACATTTCATTATAATATATGCTATAGTATTTAAATTCAACATATACGATATTGTTTTTACATATATCAAATTATTTATTAATAATTAAAAAAAAAAAAAAAAATAGTAAAATTATTATTAAAAAATAGTATAGCCAATATTGATTGATAGCAAAATAATACACATTTCCAGTGATAATTAATTTGTTTTTACTATAATATATAGGTGCCAAGATACTTAAATAAATATATAGTCACTAACTGTTACTAAAAAACTATTTATCTAAAATCCTTATTCATAAATCTAATAGTTAATATTAAATAAATGGGATAGTCACTCTTCTATGTAACAGATGTCATGTTTATCTTGTGATAGGGTAGGGTCATTATAATGAATGTGATTAATATAAATTCAATGAAATATATAATATGTAAAAGATTAGTTTTTTTTTATCTACTCTTAGAGGAAATGATTTGTCAGCTTAAATTTTCTAAAGTTATTTTATTATATATCTATATTTTTAAAAGTACATAATACAATAAATATAAGTCATAGCTAATTTTTGCAAAAAAAAAAAAAAAAAATGACTTATATTAAGTTATTATAATTTTATTTCATATAATATAACAATTCATTATAAACTTATTGTACAATATTAACGTATTTTAGAATAGTGTAATAAGATTCATCAAAAAAATAATTTTAAATTTTAAAAATGTCATTATTTCTACTAAATAATTTAATATACATAATAATAAAAAGTGTAAAGTTTCAACGAATAAAAATAATGCATTTATATTTTTTCATACAATTTTTAAGCTTTCAACTCATTTATAATTAGTTTTAATGTTAATAACTTTAGTTCTAAATATTAATTATACATTATTATTTATTATTAATAAATTATTTGGTTACTAGTGTTATTATGCTTAATACATGTGTTTTGTTGTAATACTACCATGACGTTTATAAAATTATTTCTATACTAATCCAATATAAATTCTTTATCGTGCATTATTGTATACGATTCAATTCACATTTTAGATTCTAAGAAACCCGTAACCTTTGTATTAGTTTTACACTTTTACAGTGATGGTTTTTTTTTTTTTCATTTTTATGAACAATGTTTTGGGTAAAAACTGAATGATCAATAAATGCATGTAACTCGCCTTTGATCTTTGATGATCGTAAATCAAGATTATATGCTGTTTTGAAGAGGTAAATTTTCGATTTTCTCAATGGCTTCTATATAAGCGTATGAAAAATCAACCAATGAGAATTGTTGAAAAATATCCACCAGCGTAGTATTAACCTTCTTCACTCAATTGTTCAAAGATTAATAATTGTATTTCAAATCGATATCATGAACTGTCTATTAAACAGAGATCGAAGCGCGATGAGTGGTTAACACTCACGATTACACGGTTACAGTAGTTTTCAGCCCAGATTTTTACCACTTTTCGCCCGACGCTAGATAATGCGATACCTACCCAAGTTAGTGAACTGAATTCTACTTGCGTGGCGTATTATTTCTTCATTGAATTTATGCACATCACGTCTTATTGTAGCATAGTGAACATTCTCACGACTAATGCTTTAATTCTTCTAAATACACTATGAAAATGTTAATCTCATCCATTGTTGTGCCACACTGTTTACGTGTGCGACGATATTCCATGGTATATTGTGTTTATTGTCTATAGTCGTGTATAAATCCATTAAAGCTTGTTGAGACACGTATTTCTTGCTCTAAAGACCTTTGTTATTTTATCAATATAAACAAAAAGAGAAGTATTAATTCTGATAATGAGCAATCATCCCACTTGAGATTTAATACAGCAGAGTTATATTTTAAGGGTTATTTTAACCGCTGGATGGCGGTGAAAACACAAAACATTTAGTGTTTGATCAAGACTTAATTGTTGTTAACGATTTTTTTCAAAACACAACAATGAAGATTTTCTACTAGCTATACATTAAATTAGGTGTATAGAAATGCATAAGTTTTCATTTCGATCTCATCAAATATTTTAACCTAACAAATTAGCAATAAAAAAATTAAATGCTTTATAAACTAAGCACAATACTAATAAGTAATAACTAAGTATATAACACATTGTATTTTAAGAATTCTGCAAATATTATAAGCACGTATGGCGTGCTTATTTAAATTCATAGACAATTATTAGTGTTTTAAAATGAAAAAATCCGTTTTATATTAATTTTCACTTTCAAAAGAAAAAAAAGGTCAACGATTTTTTAGTTGTCCATTATGTCATAATACTAAATGACTAGTGGTGTATTCCTTTATCTATCTTCCACCATCGGTTACTCTCGAACACTTTCTATATTCACGGAAAGACCCACCCGCTCCCTCTATTTGCAATCAACACTCTTTCTATGTATCCTTATATTGGCATTTTTTTTTTTTCTATCGCCTATCTCTATAATCTTTCTCTGAGCCACGGTTTCCTAAAAGAAAAATCGATAATTTCTCATTCATACCTCATTACACCGCTTTTGGTTGACTAAACATAAATTTATGATTTTATTACAAATCATTATATATATAGTGAACTCTTGGTAACTCAAAGTTCAACGAGAAAAAATAAAATTCGAATTATTAAACATTTCGAGGTATCAAAATCCTGCAATTAAGTTTTATGGAGTATGAAGGAGAATTTCGAGATACCTAAAGGCGGCCGTCGTGTAAGGATATTATCGTTCCAAACATATTTTTATTTAATACTGCATGGTAATAATATCAGTGGCACGTAATATCTATACCACCAACAATACCTACGCGTTTATTGTCAGAGAGCTTTTTATATTAATGTTTAGGGAATTTCAGCTATAAAACTCGAGGGGAAAAATTCACCCAATTAAAAGTCAAAATAATAAATTATACACGACGATATAGCTTAAGCACAAACATACCTACCCACACATATCTAATACGTCTGTACCCGAAGGCCATATTTTACTTTCGGGAATAATATAATTTAGTTATAAATATGCGATGATGAACAAAGAGTGTCTGATTTTTCATCGGCAGCGGTGTACAACGTGTGTTGCAGTTAAATCGTGTATCATATTATGTTATGATAGCGATTTTATCGACATTTAATTTCAAAATGCCACAAAGCTTTTAATGAAATGATTATGCATTTAAAACGAATTAATATTATTTTGACATTAAACCATATACACGAAAATTTTTTTTTTCAAATTTCTTAAAATAATGAAATAGTATGAAATATAAGTTGAGCACCCGGCTCACAGTAAATTCCACCTCAGACGTCACGGCAAATGTGGTATTTTATAACAATAGAAATTGTACTAATTTGTAAGTATGTATTTATACACAATAGTTTTTTATCATAGTTGCTTATTGTATTTTTCATTAATAACCTTAGAGGTTCGTCATAACACGACGTACCTATTTTACCACGAGTTTTTAGTGCCAATAAATACACTTACTTATGGATAAAAGTTTAAAAAAAAGTCGAATTAGGCTTTGAATTGTAAAATAAATATTAAACATATTTCAAAACAAATATGATGTCATTTTCTCAAAAAAATTATTTTCTTTTGATCCCGTAATAGTTGGCGAAATCAGTATAATAGCCCGATAGCCGATATGCGTCAACATAAAATAAATATCATTTGAATTTTAAAATATGTTTTCGTGCTCTCTAATCATGAAACCATTTGTAAAATACTTTGGATATTTGAGTTGTTTTGAATTTTACTTCGAATTTCGTCGAAACCGTCTACATCATTGATATTAAACCCCTTCGAAAAACTTCGGTGAAACCACGCGCCCTCCCAGGCCCTAACGACAATGCATGTACATAATATTTTTATTATCTATGATTTTTTTTTTTCTTCTACAATTTAACTCCGCTGGCCAACTGCGTTTTTGCGGTCGCCTCGTCCGCCTCGGTCATGTCCACACGTAACTCCGTCACGTCGTGCAACCCCGTAACCTCACTCTCTCGCACTTACACCCACCTACACGTACCCACCCCGATACACTAACAAGCACCTACTCTCACCTACACGTACGTATACACACGGACTAACACTCGTGCGCGGGTGAGAGGAGACACGCGCGCACGCGTTCGAATACGCCGCCGCCGGCGGCTCGGAAACGGTTTCCATGCGGCGACTGCGGCGCTGCTCATTGCTCCTGTCCCTGCGAATCGCTCTCTCACCGCGACGTTTCGCGGTGAACATTTCGGACGGACTCTGTTGCATGCGGGTCTCGGAGAAGAGTCATTTTCACCCGCTGCCACCGCCGCCGCAATCGCGTCCCCGTAATCGTAAAACGTTTTTTTAGAAATTTTTTTTTTCGTTTCGTTTTTATTTTTTAGATCGCTCGTGGTTTTTCGATATATATTTATTTTTATTTTTTTATTCTCACACGTTTCCAATTATTCTGACGAGCGACCCCGTCCCCTGCCACTTTCCACCGAATGCTTCAAAATATTCCGTTCTTTTTATACTATGCATATCGCATAAACGCCATCCGTCGTCTCGTCTCCGAAGATCGGTTCAGACTCGCACGATTGTTTTGGGTAAGTCCATACACACGCACGCACACACTACTCATTGTATTTATTACGTTTCATTCGTCACAGCAACTAATTTATTGTTATCGTCCACATGTACAACTGTATGATTTTTAACACAATAATGTGCTCATGAGCATTTAACGTATCTCTAAGAGATATTTATACGGTTTTGACATCGAGTAAATTGTTGTTATGCACGTCATCTGCAGACGATAGTTACGATTAAGTCGAAAAATCGTGTACGATATATACCTATTATTAGTTCGCTATCACATTAACACGTACAAAATTAATCGGTTTGTTAAATGCATATTATGTGTATCTCTCTTACCACTGTAAATGTTTTGCGTGCATAGAACGGATGATACTAAATATTAATTACTAGTCGATAGACTATTAATTGAACTATAATACAAAATAAGTAGGTCTATAACAATATTGACTATAAAGACAAAATTCGCGGTAGCCACTAAGGTTCGTTGGATTTATTAATGTTTCATCAATTTAAAAACTATATATTTATACATTTAATATAATATAAACTTTTTATTTATTACTTTGAATTAAGTAATATTTTATTTCTATAAATCAGCTGGATGAAATTATTGTATAGTTATTCAAACAGAAAATATTCTAAAATAATTTTTTTCCGAAAACTATCAATTTAAAAATTCCCAAATAAAACTTAAAATTAGCATAAATTAATTTAAAATTTTTAAGAAATAGTAATATTATAGTTATAACTAAATGTGTTTTTTCGATACTTAAACTATAATATTGGTTTTTAAAATATTGAATAATATACAAAAAGGCCTTTAAACCTATCAATCATATAGGATTTTGATCTCTTTTAATTTTATTAATACATTTAATTTTAAACGTCAAAATACCTATTATATATTGAAGTGTGTAGTTTTATAATATAACAAAATTAAATTTTGAATAATGATATAATCATTTTCAAGTTGATTGTATATTATTTGAGATATTTAATTCATATTCTGATTAATCAATATAAAATGTTAAAATATTGTTACTGACAAATATATAGAGATTATTTTTTTTAGTTTTACATATTATTAGATGTAAACAATTATTTTTTCAAATTAAACTACTTTATTAACATTTATTTACACTTATTAAAACTACCATGGCGACCCATAGTAGTATTTATTTTGTAAAAGTTACAAGTTTGAATTGAATAAATTGCTATTATTCTAATTGCACTATCACCAGATCAACAAGAAAATTTATTATAATAATTAACTTGGTCTTTTTTAATAAACTATTAAAAATGTATTTTTTTAATGTGATTATAATATATAAAAATTAAAACATTAGATTATAAGCATAATAACTTAAAATATTCATTATCCAAAGAAAATTTGTATAATTATATATTTTTTTAAATCAATTATCTAAGTAATTATAATTTTTAGGTTTACTTTGAAATAAAAAGATAAAAATAGAAATAATGTGATTAGTATAAACATGTGTGGCAAAAATTAACCCTTGAATACAACTTTAATCTTTTGTAAAAGTGAAATTATAACTTTTATTGAAATTATTTAAAAATATTTTATTCAAAACAAAATTCTATCGATATATTTATAAGCTTGAAAAGTTTTAAAAACATCGTATAATAAATTTGCTTGGAAAAAAATATTAATAATTTATCAAAAACATAAAAATAGTTAAGACCATTATTTTCTATACTTAATCAATAATTTATAAATTGTGTATTAAAAATAATATAGGATTACCTACTAAATATCTATGCTTTTAAGTAAACGATATTTGTTCATTATTTAATACGGCGTATGAATATTGAATAGGTAAAGTACATTCAGATAGAATAATCTTAATATTATTATTATTACATTCTAACGTTTATTTTATATAATAAAATTGTACACATGTGTCACATAAATATATTTTCTTTATTTTTATGTACATAAATAAAATATACGAAACTATAAAAATTATAATACTAAGTAGGAGAGTAGTATATATGTTTTTTTTAATTATATACAAACATATTATTATAAAAAGTTTGTACAGAATTAACAGTTTAAATTACTCTTACGAGATGTTTAGAAAAAAATAAGTTTTCAATAGAGCGTTTAAATGTAAAATCATTTACGTTATTGATATAACCGAAATATGTAGGTATATTTATAGATAACCAAAGAATTCCCTCGGTTTTCATAAAATGTAAAATACGCCGATCTAAAAACATAATATACTTGAACTAGAAGTTTCGAGAAAAAAAACCATAGGTATAACTTTTTATTTTATGGGTTTCAATTTTTTTTTTCTCATTTATATATTTTGAGTTTTTACTCTGAACGTAATACATTCTATACATACAATATACATATCATTTGACGTCTTGAACTTGTTATACCATGCAACCTTTAGGTTTCAGGGTTTTATTACTTTTCAGCGAAAAAAAAACAAAAACACAAAAACAAAACTATAGTGAAAAAAAAACTTATACATTTTTAGTTGGGCGTTTCATGAAAACCGAATGTATAATATTATAAAATAAGCTTTTTAATCCTTTCAAACGTAAAATGTCCGCGTGTTTTTAATTAAGTGTCCGTCGTATATCACGAAAAAAAATAAAATCCATCCCTTTTTCAGCATAATGTAGAATTTGACGATACTGTACACGGCGGCGATATACAAACATACATGCATGCATCTCTCTACAGATACACAATATAAACATAATAGTATATTGAGCGTAATCGTTGGCGATTATACGCAGCGTCCGATTAAAATATACTATACATATACGTTATGTACTGGAACTCCATCACGTTCATCTCGGTTGTCGGTAACCACCTCAAGTAACACTACCGCTACCGTAACACGTGTATTTCCGGGTTGTATACGCACGTACATTTTGCAGGAAAAACTTAGTGGTTCAAATTACGACCGTATAATACTGTTGTCGGTCCAATCACGACGACACTTCGACCGTATTTCATTTATTATACACTACAGTAGACCAGTTATTCTAAAGCCTTTTCAAAGTTCAGACAAACTTAAGTATTATTATTATTTTCGGTGAAAGCTAAAATTATTTTTCTGTTTTACTCACGGGTGTAGGTGACCCCGCGGTCTTCAATAATCCTTAACTCTCCACCTTCTAAAGGCTTATAAGTCCCAAGTTTAAAATCAGCTAATGTAAACGACTTGAACACTATTATATGTTTTAAACGAATCATTTTTTATACTATACAAAATTATCTACTTAATATAATATATAAGACACAATATATCAACATTTTATATCGATATAATTTTTTAAGTTGTTTACTCTTTTGTATGTCAAAGTGTATTTTTTATTTCATATCTAGAACAGAATATTATTTGAAGTATTTTGATCTATAAAAATCAGATTTTGGATAATTAGTTTTCTTTACTTTCAGTTTTTAAAATAATAAGTGTCTTATGTTTTATATACCACTCAGTATATGTTAATCAAAGAACTGTGATATACAAATTATAATTGCATTCGGTAAGCAATACCTTAAAGTTTTTTTTTTTTTTTTTTTTAGCTTTTAGTATATAACTATAATAGTTCAACAAACCATACCTTAAAGTTATACGACGTTATTGTGTTGTGATCACATTTTAATAACATAATTATTGTATAATTTGACAAAATATAGTATAAAACAGAGAGATTTACTAAACATGCTCACACCCAGTTCTCTTCAATTGTATATTTATTTAATTATAACTATTTTTGTTATTTTTGAGTATAATACTCAAGTACCATCACATTGATCTATGTTTTGATATTATATAATATTGTGATGTATCACTTTTTTTTAAATATACTTTATTTCCTCGTTAATGGTTAATCATATAATATTTTTGAAAACTTTCTCTACCTAATTTTAAGTTGAATGAGTTGTAATTGATGTACTTAATATTATGATAATAAACTTTGTTTTGTTTAGTCTATTGCTTTTAACAAACTATACTTAGATATTTATATTTATTACTATATTTTGAATGTGCTACAGTCATAATATCTTTCTAAAAATCCTATACCTAATTAATTACTATTCATAGAACATCGATGAATATGAAACTGTATAATAACTTATATTTTAACAAGTTCGTAATTCTAATTTTCTAATTTGAAAAATTTGTATCAATTTGTAATAATAACAATATTTAAGTATCGTAATTAAAAATTTCAAAAATGAAATATAAAGAAATACACGACTATAAAATACATTGAGGTGAGCATGCTTGGTAAATCATTCTGTATATTCTGTTTTAATTTGATTTGATTTTTACGATATAGTACCATTTAAAAACAGAGATTGTTCATAATTGATCGTTGCGTGAGCTTAGTTAATTTGAATACAAAATATTACCCATTGAACTTATAAAAACGCATGCTAGCCTTTAGGTAAACAAATATATAAACAAAAAGCAATTTTTACTGGGAAAGCTTTTTTTAACGTACCTACAGCGGTTGTGCGGAGTGATGGTCATCTCCTACCGTTATGCTCGCTTGAACGGTTTAAATAAATCGAAAATACCCATCGACTTATTATTAAAAAAAAAAAGACCATGCTCGATGGATGTCGCTCGGTACTTCAAATCCAAAAAAGGTAAAAATGGTATATATATTTACAATGCACATGCAACGGCTGAGTACAAACTTAACGGCTGTCGTATCCTCGATCACTTTGACGAAAAAAACGGAGTCTGCAGCAATAAAAAAAAAAAAAAATCAAACATCCTCATTAGCAATACTTAAAAGTTTCTGCCACCGATAAGAGACGAGCGCTGAATCTTAGTCTACTTGGACGTTTTCACCGACGCGAGGACGACTTTCGAGCAAACGACGTTACGTAATATATAATAAGAGGTAACTGACGGTTTGGCTGTAATAATATGACATTATAGATAGTATATATTTGTCACATACCACGCCATTATTATTAGCGTCCGGCAAAATTCAATTTGTC